CAGACGCAATACCAAATCCTATGATAAACAGGCATTATATATCGTAGGCAGTAAGCAGAGTAGATAATTAGGATGCTGACGGGACCTGAGAGGATTCAGCAGTAGAAAAGACACTGAGCCAACTCCAATGCTAAATGTGTAAGGGTATTAGTAGTGGCAAATGTAGAATTTTATGTGAGAAACCAAAGAAGAAATTTGAAAAGGACAAAAAAGCAGGCTAGCAGTTGAGGTCAATGGAAGGAAAGAGGACGGACTCTAACAGTCATTATCGCACACTGGGCATATATCAGAGGGTCACACGGGGAACAATCTGATCTAATTCATTGCATCCCTGTTTTTATGCAGCCAGAATAACACTTGATCTCCAAATCATGGGATTAAAGCAAAAGATAGAAACCAGAGTAAGATCAACAGCAAAGGTGACATGCTTATCACCTCTGGCCCAAGGGTAACATTCCTTGATTAGAAATAGGGCTGCTTACAAAGTTACAAAAAGGCAGCATGTGAGCAATAAAGAGTGAAGAAAATGGAACAAATAGATACTAAGTAACATCTGACTATGCCTTGATCTCTCAATGGCTTTGTAAGTTCTTTATGTTGTGGCAATTATACGTTCCACAGTTATCGTTTTAACTATCCTAACTGTATCATTTATATAATAAGCATATTCACAATGCTGTGCAACTATTATCACTATCCTTTAGATCCTTTCTAACACTATCCCTGGTCCTGCATTGAGATGATCACAGTGCTATGTACACAGAATGTGTTTCTTAATGAATGGTTAATTTGCCTAGATACTATCACAGCCATGTGATGATACAAAGAGGATGTGGTCACTCCGGTTACGTTCCCAGTTTATTCAGTATTTAAATGGAGCCTCTGTGAGTTCTTGGCCATGTGGCCAGGAGAATCCCGTCATCCAGGGAATAATAATTAGGGGCTCTCCTTTGAGCTTTTGCCAAACAGTATTCTGATTCGCGTACTTACACAGATTATTATAACTAGGACATTGTCTAGAGCTAGGGCTACAATATTTCCGCACCAATCCTCCTTGGACTGAGATTATGAGCTGCTTACATAACCTCATGAAACATGTAACTCTTAAATGACCAATCATCTTAATTTTTCTTTCATGTGCCCACCCAACTGGAAGGAAAGTGCATGTGTTTTGAGTGAGAACTCTGTTGATGCTTATTTTTGAAACCAGCTATTGATTTATAATTTATGTACATTAAAACACACATTTCAGCTATACTATAGATGTTTGACCAATGGAAAATGTATGCATTTAAATAATCATACAAGCAGATTTGACAAACTGCATTAGATTCATCGATTATGAGCTGAATATATCTTTTTTCTAAAAACAACATATACCTTGAAACCCTTGCTAGATCATTGCCTTCTACATGTAAATATAGTCATAGATTATACATATATCTAGACAGGAGACTTCAAGCATTTTGCTTCTTCTGATTTAGATGCATTAGATATAATTAAAACACTTTAGTACATTCAATGTTAGGCATCACCTTTCAAGAAAATATCCACTGACCAGCATGGAAGTAGCATAAAAGGCCAATATTTAAAACCTTGAAATCACATTTACAGACCAAACTCAAAAGAATCAATGGTGGTATAGGGTGAGGAATGATGATGTTAGTCACAAAACCTTGACAGTTTTTATGTGGAGACACAAAGTAACTTGATAAGTATGGGACTGCAGAGAGCAAAAGTGCCAAGAGAAGTCCATCTAGTGTGGAGTCGACATAAGGAAGAACTTCTTTGAATTATAACCTCTAAACAGAACTGAAGTATCAAGGATCAACACTGTAATTATTCAAAAAGAAGCCAAGAGACAATTGGAGAAGTTGAGACACAGTAGAGAGATTAGGTACGTGAGGAAATTAGGGATATCTTCCCATTCCAATTCAGTTATTTTGTGATGTAGGAACTCTAGTTTAAAGCCATAGCCTAGGCTGGGATGGGGGCAAACCAGACTAAGCAGGGCTACAACACCTGTGCGCCTCATGTGGACTAGATCAGGGAAAAGCCGGGCTGGGCTGATTATTCCTACTGGTGCAAACAAAATTAGAGTGGGTAAGGGTTGTTTGGGCTTAGCCACAGCATCAGCTGGCAGAAGCTGGCACTGGGGGCTAGTTCTGTCAAGTCAAACCACAGAACTATCTGTAGAGTACATAATCTGGGAGTGGGAGAGGCATGGGAGGGAAATAGTGGGCTCATCCCTCTTGGGTTACCACTTCCACGGGAGGGCAAGATAAACCAAGACAGTGGCTGGGGTGGAATGGGGTGTGGGACAGACTGGATTACTGCTACACATACTGGCAAACCAGGGTAGGGGGCGGGCCTGGTGGGGGTTATTGTGGGTTGCTCCAACTAGGCTGCAGCCCACATTGGTTTATGCGAGGGCCAAGTATGTGCTGGGCAGAACCAGGCTGGACTGCAACACCCATCGGTTCCAGTGAAAGTCAGAAGTGAAAATGGAACCAACCCAGCAATTGCAACCACCAGCTGGTTGGACTGTGCTGGGCCCTGTACCTGCTACCACATACAAGAATCTGGTCTGAGCACTCCTCAGACAAAGTTTCTTTGGACATCTCCCCAATCAAAATGCTGGACTCAGAACCCTAACCAAGAAAAGAGAGAAGACAGAACAGGTCAATCAACCATCTCAGCTATATGATGGACTATGTCAATCAGTGGATTCTTCAAGGACCTCATAGTGTTTGGAGTGGCAAGATTGACAGCAATTCATAACTGTTGAAATATCAAAACCACTTGAGCAAGAGCCTTGGAGCATACCCTACATCCAGGATGTGGGGAGGGTGGGAAATTGGGTGGGCCTTCTCCCTTAATACCCCCTTTCAACATGAAGGAAACAATATGGAGAAAATAATAGTCTTATCCACTTTCCTATAGCCCTTGAACCTTTTTACCTTAATTAACTATGTAAAGATTGTCTCTCCCCCCTCCCAAAAAGCCATAGCCTAAGACAGACTATCTCCAAATCATGGTCTGATCAAGAACAAAGAAGAGAAGCAGAAACAGATTTGGCATATAGGAGAATATGTATATATGTATGTATGTATATGTGTGTGTGTGCATACATGTATATGTAGATACACACACATATACATGTATGCCTTATTTTTCCATAATTGCTTGAAAGGAAAAATAAATTCAGAAGAATGATAGAAAAATCTTTTCTTTCTTCCCAACCAAAAACTATTTTGGGATTCCTAACTTATGTTAACAGCATCACTGCTACCCAATTATGCGGAAAAGCGCATTAATGTTCCTTACCCTGACAATATCTTCCTCCAATTTGTACTAGGTCTGTTCCAGAAATATCTCCAGTTAGTTGTCCTTTACCTCTATACTGATACTGCTGTGGCTCCAGGTTAAACTCATTCAACTAATTGCGAACTTGTCATCCTTTCTTGGATCTCTGCCCTTTTAAAATCACTGTTCAGGGCTCAGCATTGTAGCCTAGCGGCTAAAGTCCTTGTCTTGCATGTGCCAGGATCCCACATGGGGCCGGCTCTAATCCCAGTGGCCCTACTTCCCATCCAGCTCCCTGCTTGTGGCCTGCGAAAGCAGTCAAGGACAGCCTAAAGCCTTGGAACCTTGTACCCATGTATGAGACCTGGAAGAGGTCTGGGCTCCTGGCTTTGGATATGCACAGCTCCAGCCATTGTGGCCACTCGGGGAGTGAGCCAGCAGATGGAAGATCTTCCTCCTTGTCTCTCCTCCTCTCTGTGGAATTTCCATTGTGGCCACTTGTGGAATGAATCAATGGACAGGATCTTTGTCTCTCCTCCTCTCTGTGTATCTGACTTTCCAATGAAAACATAAAATAAATCTTTAAAAATTTTTTGAAAATTATAAAATAAAAAACAAAGAACTAACCAACATGACTCTAATCTGCGCAGAAGCTTAGTTCCTTAATGCCTGCAACGTACAGTCCAAAGTCCATCACAGTCTTGCTTGCCCCTGATACCTTGTGCTTTGTTTATACTGTAGTACTTATCATTCTAAACAGGCCATATGCTTCTCTATTCCATGTCCTATTCACTTGTCATGAACTCATGAATAGCTGCTCATTTTTCAAGGCTCATGCAAATGCTACGAAGCTAACCCTAATGTGTGGACCTCAGAGCCCCTGTTTCTCTCCAATAAAATTAAACACTTTTCCTTGGAGCTAAAAGTACTTCTCTTCATGCTTTATTTTTTGCATTTGGTCATCATGTTTAAAAGATTAGTTCGGGGGGTCTAAACATAGATTTTCGGGCCCGGCGCGGTGGCGCAAGTGGTTGAGTCCTCGCCTTGCACGCCCGGGATCCCATATGGGCGCCGGTTCTAATCCCGGCAGCCCCGCTTCCCTTCCAGCTCCCTGCCTGTGGCCTGGGAGGGCGGTTGAGGACGGCCCAAGGCTTTGGGACCCTGCGCCCGCGTGGGAGACCCGGAGGGGGCTCCTGGCTTCGGATCGGCATAGTATCGGCCCATTGCGGCTCACTTGGGGAGTGAATCATCGGATGGAGGATCTTCCTCTCTGTCTCTCCTCTCTGTATATCCGCCTTTCCAATAAAAAATAATAAAAAAAAAAAAAAAAAAAAAAACATAGATTTTCCTACTAGAGAATCCCTGAGAGCATACAGCAGGCTTAATTTATTTCTCCATCCAACCTTGTCACATACCCCTTTGCCCCTATGTTAAGCATCCGTTACAATGCTTTTTATATTACAAATTCTAAAGTGTTTAGAGAATTAATGTGGAATGAAAAAGTAAACTAAAAAAAAAAAAAAAAAGAAAATAACAAAAAAATTTAGAATTAATCTGGAATCTGAGGAAGTCAGTACTAGTTTTTAATATTATAACTTCTCATTAAAATTCTAATCTCAAGCCTAGTGATTGGAAAAAAACCTCTCATTCATGGCAATATAACAATTTTGAGCCAAACTCCATTATATACTCACATTCACTAGCAGAGCGAAATCAGTGACCAGTTGGCTAAGTTCAATCAAGTCCTTAAAAAGAGAGAAAGAGAAAGTTACTTACTTTTATGCCTCACAGCCAGCAAACAGAAATTCTTCTTTAACATACCGCTTCCAAGTTTTCCCATGACTCCGCAGCATGCTGGTCCGGAGGAATTTCAGGCAGTGCATAGATCTGAGTCAAGCTCTGACAGCTGGCTTCGGCTTCCGTGCTGTGAAATTCTCCTGCGTGAACACAGCCCCAGGTGCGGACGTTAGTTGCTTTGTTGGAATAGGCAGAACATGAGTCAATTCCACAAAATGATTGCTACTGCCACGGAAAAAGCTTATTATTTAATTAGATGCTAAAAGTGAGTTGGTTATTCTATGAAAACAGAATTGTTTAACCATGGATACCTTATTTTTTTCATCCAAACTAATGGCTACATATCTTCTGTTTCCATCCTAAATAACTTTGTTGGCATTTAACCTAAGATATTTATCCAAAGTAAGACTATTGTATTTGGTCAACGTTCCATGAAGAGACATCCAACAGAAAGAGACTTAATGCCTTTCAGTGCTAAATCTTTAACCTTTCATTTGGCTACTTCAGTAATTATTAAGTATCAGAGACATAGGATGTTGAAAGTAGGAAGTGATGTGTGTTCACTGATAAAATAGCTCATTCTTACTACATGTATATTTATATATGCATATCACTTTTTGAGTCATTCTCTGACATATGTTTTCATTCTCCTTCTATTTCTTTCCTGAGTTTTAACAAAATCATCAAGGAGCTGGCACTGTGGCATCGTGAGTTAAGCTGCTGCCTGCAGGGCATGCACCTATATGGGCACTGGTTCGAGAACCAGTTGCTCCATTCTAATCCAGTTGCTTGATAATGCACTCAGGAAAGCCGCAGATGATCGCACAAATGCTTGAGCCCCTACACACATGTGAGAGACCCAGGAGAAGGTCCCAGCTCCTGGCTTTGGCCTGGCTCAGCACAAGTTGCTACACAGACACTTGGGGAGAGAACCAGTAGATGAAAGACCTTTCTCTCTGTCTGTTTTTCTCTGTTCCTCCCTCTCTTTTTCTGTAACTTTGATTTTCAAATAAATAAAAACAAATCTTGAAACATACACACATACACACATGAATCATCAACCCACTAAGGACTTTGTACATTAAACACTGCTATGATGAAAACTGACCCACACTATGAATAAGAAAACAAGCCAAGTGGTGGGGCCGGAAATCCAAACTGTAATTATTCATGAGCTTATAAACTACACTGGAGTTTTACCTTCTTCATAATATCAATATGGAACTTTTGGAAAGAGTTGGAGACTACTGAGAAGCTGGAAGCCATCATCATCAGATTTTAGATTTAGAAATGAAATCATAGCTGATTTATGAAGAGCACATTAAGGGTGAGACAATTAGACAGTGATAAACAAGTTGGGAGGATTTGTAACAGGTCCAGTTCAAAGTGTCGATGACCCACTCAGCAAATGGCAGTGGAAATGAACAGAACAGATACAAAGGTCTACTTTGCTGTCTCTCTTCTCTCTGTAATCTGCCTTTCCAATAAAAATTAAAATCTCAAAACTTCTTCTTAGCACTTATTATATATTATGTTAGGTGGAAGGGATGAAAAAGTGAATGACAGAGAACTGACTCTCAAAGAACTTACGCACTGAAAGAGTCAGCTACAAAAGTGGTGATCATAAAACAAAGTGAGAATGCATTATCCACCCATCTACCTAGATGCATACAGAATTTTGTGGGGACTCTAAGCTGTGGCATCTTCTCCAGCCTGGTGTGGTGTGCAATGTCTGGAAAGCCTTACTACAAAACTGATGTCATTAGGCAAAGAGAATACAGATTCTAAGAAAAAACAGCACAAATACAGGTCTTTAAGGAAGAGAAATATACTAACAAAATTTGTTATTACTGAAGCCTGAGGTAAAAGAAGCAGTTACAAGTACATGGCATTAAGACTGGTTGGTGTGGCTTGATGTGATGGCTCTGGCTAAATTCTTGCCTTGCACATGCTGGGATTCCGTATAGGTGCCAGTTCATGTCCTGACTGCTCTACTTCCCATTCAGCTCTATGCTCGTGCCCTGGGAAAGCAGTGGAGGATGGCCCAAATGCCTTGGGACTCTGTGCCCGTTTGGGTGGCCCAGAAGCTACTCCTAGTTCCTGGCTTCAGATTGGCTCAGCTCTGGCTGCTGTGTCCACTTGAGGAGTGAAACAGCAGATGGAAGATCCTTCTCTCTGTCCCTCCTTCCCTCTGTAAATCTGACTTTCCAATAAAAATAAATAAATCTTTAACAAAATAACTCAAATGAAATACACCAGGATATAAAACTTGAGCAAAGAGAGATTAGTGCATATAAATTCCTCATCTAAAAGAGATGGGAAATGTTTGACATTTAAACATAAAAGATATCCCTCAATCAAAAAAAAAAAAAAAAAAGAAAGAAAGAAACGTTGAAGTCACTAAAGTCTCACTTGAAACCAAACTGCGTATGCATCTCAGTTCAAATGGAGTTTTAGAACAAAGAAGTCTTCTCTTTCCTGGGAGACCCACACACTTAACAACTCTTAACATCACTAATGAATTCAAGCCATGGTTATCAATTAAGAAAGCAAACCGTTTAATTTGTACAACTTCTATGATTTATATATTCTATCTTGCATTACAGAATCACTCTCTCAGTGACTGTCCTTTGATTTTTAACTCTTCAAACTGCTAAGAACATAATGAAGCAAAACAGAGAGAAATTGTAGCTACAGGACAGAAGGCTGCCCACAGAGGTAAAAAAATTATAATCATTTCATTAGCCACAATAATCTCAGTTCTGAAACAGGCAAATTAGTTACTACTCAACACTATTTTTCAAATTCCAAAATTATTATTATAAAATATTATTGGCTATAAATTCTAATAAACATTACCATAATTTATTCACTTAGGTAGTAGTAAGATATAAGCTAAATAAGGAACACAAATTCTAAACTTTTCCCTTCTTTCTCTTGATGTATAAATATACAGTTACACTCCCTCTTTTCCTGTATTTCATGAACTATGATTTCACCATAAATAAAAATTTCACTAAAATCTAAACTAATTCAAAAGCACTCATTATATTTTTTCACGTTCTGATAGCTTAAAAATGGTGACATCAATTTACTAATCATCTACATGAAATATATCAAAATAAAATGATGGGGCTGATGTCCTGGGGTAGCAGGAAAAGCTGTTGCCTGTAATGCCAGCATCCTTGTGGGTGCTGGTTTCTGTCTGGGTGTTCCACTTCCACCCCAGCTCTCTGCTAATGGCCCAGTGAAAGCAGAAGATTTTCCAAATGTTTGGGTCCCTGCCAACCACACGAGAGGCCTAAAGCAAGCTCTGGGTTCAGCCTGATACAGCCCTGACCTTTGTGAACATCTGGGAGTAAACCAATGGATGGAAGGGTCCCCCCTTCTCTCCTCTGTACCTCTGACTTTCAAATAAATAAACTTTTTTGGAAAAAAAAAATACAATTACTTCCAAAGTCATGTTTTAGCTTCAAAGAACAATTTCTTAAAAAAAAAAAAAAGCAAAGCCTATCATATAATACAAAGCCTTCTACATATTTCACAAAACTGTTCAGCATCTGTTCATTACCTAAGATAAAAATCTAACATTTAGTCAAATTCAATATGATAGTATGAAGTTTTCCAGAAGTTTTAAGACTGGATCCCTTTAGTCTGTGAATGTTTAACATGTAATAAGGTTCTGTTCCTATCACGCTTCTGAAGCATGTGTCCAGATGGCAAGTTAAGCAAGTCTGAAATGGAGAGAAGCCCTGAGTCCCTCAGTATGAATTATAGCACCTTTCTAAATACAAATCAGATCTGTGGCCCATCACTTCTCTCGGTGAGTAGCAATATGTTAACGATGAAACTATAAACAGAAGTGATACCACTCTTCCTTCAACTTAGTAAGCTTCTTTCATTCTCCAAAGAATATAAAATGTCTCAATCTAGATGTTATTTCTATCGACAAATGAGAAACCACTATTTTTGTATTTTGTATCTCACTCATGGAAGTATGGCAATACTGCTCTGAAATGTTTGCTGATGTTTCCTACCAATTTATTTAGAAACAGATTAAAGTGTAAAGGAAAAAGTATTTTAAGGCACTTACTTCTATGCAAATAAAATATATTTTCTGTATAGGCTACCACTACCATAATGAGTAATTTAAAGCAAAAATAAGGAACAACCAAAGAGCACAGGATAAAAATATGCAGAATGACAGAAAAGAGTCTACCACTAGAAGACCACATATGGAGCAAGGCCAATTCCAACTCAGCTATTAAAGTCTAATGTAAATTAGTGACTTCCTTTTCATTATCGTCTCAAATCTTCTCACTTGCTTGTTCATAATATTTCTAAATTCTAGAAACCCAACAGCAATTCTCACACTTGGTGAAAAACCCAAAAACTTGGTTAAACAGGTATTTTAACAGCTTTATGTTTTGACAATGGGTTTACTGACAAAGCACAATCTGATCACAGCACTCTAGAACTTGGAAGTTATACTGCTTCAGGTAAAACTCAGCTGTGTACCTTTCTACGGAGAGTGACTGTATCAACCACGTCAGTACTGGCTTCAGATTTTTCAGTTTTTCTCTCAGTGGCAAATAATGAAGTCCTTTAGCCTACTTGGTTTTCCATGAATTCACAAGTTTAAAAGTCAACAAAGTGGAAACATGCATTTGACTTACTCCTTCTCCCTCATTCTCTGGCTCTGCCCAATCTTTTCCTTTCTTCATACATGTACTCCTCAAATTCTGCCAATTATTATTTTTTTAAGACTAGTTATCTTCCTGTGGAGACAGTTAATTGTCTGTAAACTTAATAAACTAAACTGCCTTCTCTGGCAATGAGCCAATTTCTCTGAAGACCTAGACACCCAACTCTGTTGAACATACACAGTTCTGGGGGAAACCTGAATGACTCAATGATAAAATGCAGTTCAAATTAATTGCTAGAGTATTGTCATATTGTGAAATAATTCTCTAACAGAAGTGAAATCTTTTTACCTGACAGGGAACTGTAAAAAGGAAAATATATTCAAACCAACTACGCTTTTAAAAGTTCCAGCTTCTTCACTCTTACTATCAGTGACATAACTGTCCCAAAGTCTGGTACACAAGACAGGCTCTTGCTCACAGGGAACTAAGCATGAAGCCCAGTCCTACAAAAACACACATTAAGCAACAATTTGTATTCAATAAGAAGGAAAGCCTTCAAACTCACCAGTACAGTGGTGACAACCTAGGAGAACAGAACAATGGAAACAGTAACTATGAACTACTAAAAACATCATTCCCTAAAACTCTTCAATTAAGGAATGAGTGCTAACATCTTCTCCCCCAAAACATTTTAGACACTGTTAATCCAGAGAGCAAAATGATTATAGCACAACTGAAATTACAAAATTGTCTCCAGAAATTTGTTTGTTTAAAGACAAAGTAACAGAGAGAGTGAGATCTTCCATCTGCTGGTTCCCTCCTAAGATGGCTACAATAGCCAAGTTGGGCCAGGCTGAAGCCAGGAACCAAGAGCTTCTTCTAGGTCTCCACGTGGGTACCAAGGGCGTAAGCATTTGAGGCATGTTCCACTGCTTCCCTGGGTTCATTAGCAGGGAACTGAATTGCAAGTGGAGCAGGAGGCACATGAACTGTTGCTTACATGAATGCCAGCACTGCAGGTGACACCTATACCTGCTATGCCACAACACCAGTCCAAACACATACACTTTAAAAAAAAATAATTGTAATAATTAAAAGTAGATTAAAATGATACATGAAAAGTAGCAACCTAGGATAATTTAAAAATAAAAAATATTAAAGCAGAAATAGAAAAAAATACAGTAATTATAAAGTAAAGACAGGATAATTAAAAATTAATGTGGTAGTTAAAATTTTAGCTTTGGGCAGACGTGATAGCCTATTGGCTAAATGCTTGACTTGCAACCACTGGGATCCCATATGAGTGCCGGTTCATGTCCTGGCTGCTCCACTTCCCATTCAGCTCCCTGTTTGGGCCTGGGAAAGCAGTTGAGGATGGTCCAAAGCCTTGGGACCCTGTACACGCGTGGGAGGCCCAAAAGAAGCTCATGGCTTCTGGTTTTGGATCAGATCAGCTTGGCTACACCCATTATAGCCACCTGGGGAGTGAACCAGCAGAAGAGAAGATTATTTGCTCTGTATCTCCTTCTCTCTATAAATCTGCCTTTCCAATAAAAAATAAATTTAAAAAAAATTAGCTTTTAAGCTTTCTGGTAGACTACTCAAATAGGAAAACTTTATCAATGACTGTACTTAATACTCAAGAGGTTAAAAGAAAAAGACCAGCTTCTCTGAAGTGCTATTGTGTACTAAGCCAAGAATTTTCAGGATTAAAGACATTATTATAGTGTGACTGACAATTATCAATGACATCCTCAGAAGAGTTATAATAACAATTCTTACAGGGCTGTTTCATAGAGTATCACTTCACAAGATTGATGGCATGACCTTCATTGCAGATTATTTTTTAATGTTGTCAGTTAAACTCAGAGAACTGAACTGGATGATAAATTCAACATTGCCTGAGAAAACCAGAGGCATACAAGAAAAGGCATACCTTAGCAGGTCACCCCCACACATTCACAGGAAGGAAGAATACTCCGCAGACCAAGACGAATTCTTTTTGAGAAATACGTTAAAAATTTATTTTCCATACATGGACAAATAGATATTTAAAGCCCCAGAATGCTGCTTCTCATAGCATGGCCTTGAACATTTATCCTGCAGAATTTCCAGGATGTATATTTCTAGTCATACTCGGAATCCACAGACTCAGCATATTTGGACATCAGGTGATTCTACAGATAGATTATCAATCTGTAGTATGTACACAAGGAGGTGAGCTTTAATTACCTACATCACTATGATCAAGAACAACAATTCATATAATACATTACCGCCGACAGTCATGGATCTGCTTAAAGCAGGCTGTAATGAAGTCTCTTCATCATTGAATTGTTTCTTAAGCTCTTCTACGGATTCCAAGTGGAGTTGCAGAAACTCTGCCGTTGCTGCTGCTGCTTCCTCTTTAACTGGATCTATCATTCTTTTCAGAAGTATCAGGTCATCCTTACGGACTTTCAAACAAAGTTTCTCCATTTCCCGGATATTGGAGCGGAGTTGCTAGAAAAAAACAAAACAAACAAAACATAAATGCCACTGTCTATTTGTACAAAGTATCTGTCAGAAGTAATTTGTTATGATGGTTACACGTGGAAATGATCACATATTCCCTCCCTATCATGGAAAGCATGGCAAAATACTTTTGATTGCCCATGTCTATGGCTGTATAAGCCCAGGATCATTTTTAAAATGATTCTATTTTAAAAATTGATCTATTGGGCCCAGCACAATAGCGTAGTGGTGAAAGTCCTCGTCTTAAACGCACCAGGATCCCATATATGCGCCAGTTCTAATCCCGGTAGCCCCGCTTCCCATCCAGCTGCCTGCCTGTAGCATGGGCAAGCAGTCGAGGATAGCCTAAAGCCTTGGGACCCTGCACCCACATGGGAGACCCAGAAGAAGCTTCTGCCTCCGGTTTTGGATTGGCTCAGCTCCAGCTGTTGCGGCTCACTTGGGGAGTGAATCATCGGACAGAAGATCTTTCTCTCTGTCTCTCCTCCTCTCTGTATATCTGCCTTTCCAATAAAAATAAATTAATCTTTTTAAAAAAACTGATCTATTATAGCCTAGCGGTAGCCTAGTGGCTAAGGTCTTTATCTTGCATGTATCTAATCCTATATGGCCATCTCTTTGTGTCCCAACTATTCCACTTCCCATCCAGCTCCCTGCTTGTGGCCTGAGAGGGCAGTCAAGATCCTGCACCCATGTGGGAGACCTGGAAGAAGCTCCTGGCTCCTGGCTTTGGAATTGGTTTCTCTCCGGCCACTGTGGCCACTTGGGGAGTGAGTCGGCAGAGGGAAGATATTTCTGTCTCTCCTTCTCTCTGTGAATCTTTCCAATAAAAGTAAATAAATCTTTCTTAAAAACTGACCTATTTACTCATTTTGAGGGAGGTTGATAGATGGAAAGAGAGAGACAGAGAGAGATTAGGAGAAAAACAGGAAGGAATGAAGGAAGGAGGGGAGGAAAGAGGGAAAATGGAAAGAAAGAAGGCAGACAGGGAAGGATAAAGCAGAAAAGAGAAAGAAGAGACTACTCCCATCTGCTTGTTCACTTCCCAAAAAGCTGGCAACAGTCCATGCTAGACAGTGGCTGAAGCTGCAAGGCAGGGACTCAGCTCAGGTCTCCCACACAACTGGCAGAAAACCATACACCTGAGCCATCACCCGCTGCCTCCTCTTGTCATAGTATGTATTAGCAAGAAGTGTATCATGAGCCAGCCAGCATTGGGAATCAACTCAGGCACTCCAACATGAGATGGGTCATTTTAGCCACTAGACAAATGCCCATCCTCAAAAACCCCATCTTCCAAAAGCACTTTCTAATGACAACAGTATATTTAGCTAACAAATGCTCTTCATTAAAAAAAAATGTAAAAATGTAGAAACAACAAGGAAAAAATTATTTTCTCACCAATCCCATCGTCTCTAACCCCATCCTTTCACATGTTTCTCAGGAACTCTTGCCCTAAATATGGGTTTTCTCTCTAAAAACAAAGGGTAGATTTTGCGTAATAAATTGTAATTTTTCATCTCATATTCCAGTTTGATAGTTCATCATGGAGTTCCTTACTGGTCATTGCTCACACCATATTCCACAGTATAGTTGTACAATTTAATCAACCATCCCTCTGGGGATCAACAGTCCTTTTTATTGTTCCTAGGTTTTAGTTATTACAAACAATAAACATATTTGCATGCAAATCCTACTGGAGTATGTTAGCATTTTAGTGGGTTTTTTTTTTTTTAAGATTTCTATTCTTTTTATTGGAAAGTCAGATTTACAGAGAGAAAGAGAGAGAAAGATCTTCCATCCACTGATTCACTCCCCAAGTGGCCACAACAGCTGGAGCTGAGCCAATCTGAAGCTGGGAGCAGGAGCTTCTTCTGGGTCTCTCACGTGGGTACAGCGTCACAAGACTTTGGGCCATCCTCAACTGCTTTCCTAGGTCACAAGCAGGGAAGCTGAATGGGAAGTGGAGCACTTGAAACACAAAGAAGGAACCATATGGAATCCAGATGCATGCAAGATGAGGACTTTAGCTACTAGGCTATCAGGTTGAGCTCCAACATTTTAGTATTTTTAATGTATATTTATAAAAGATTTATTTATGTATGTGAAAGGCCCTAGTGACAGAGATGAAAGAAAGAATCCTTAATCCAACGAAAACCATGGATGGAGCAGTTTGAATCCAGAAACCAGAAACTCCATCCAAGTCTCCCACATGGGTGAGAAGGGCCCAAACATTTGGGCCATCATCCATTGTCTTCCCAGGTGCATTAGCAGAAAACAGGATCAGAAATAGAGTAGCAGAGACTTGAACCTGCATTCCTATATGGAAAGCTGGCATTGTTAGTACACGCGTAACCCATTGTGCTATGAACTGGGCCCTAATACAATAACACAGAGGTGATTCCCAGAATCAAAGAATGCTAATATACTTTTATTTTGATAGTTATCACCACCAAGAGGCTATAGCAATTCACATGACAACCAAAGTCTAAGTGCCTATTTCCCCACATACTGCTACGATCGCATGTTACCCTATTGCTGTTTCCCATTAGGCAATAATGAGGCCTGGTCTTGTTTAGATTCTGAGATCAGACCAGATCAGGAATTCAGAATGGTAGAGCCATAGACTCATTGAGGTTTTACTCTGCATTTCTTATTCCTGAAATAGTTGGTCTTTCTTTTTTTTTAGGATTTTAATTAATTAATGAATGAATTAATTAATTTTATTGCAAAGTCACTTACACAGTAAGCACACATACTTATTTGACTATTTTTGTCTGTTATTTATTTGTACTTATTTAAAAGTCAGAGACAGACAGAGATTAATCTTCTATCTGTTGGTTCATTCCAAATGCCTGCAACACCAGGGGCTGGGCCAGGTCAAAGCCAGGAACCTTGGAACTCAACTGCAGTCTTCTTTAAGTGGCAGGGACCCAAGTGCTCCCCTAGGTCTACACTAGCAAAAAGCTGGAACCAGAAGCAGAAGCAGGACTCATGTATCAGCCTTCCAGATACATGACCAGTGATCTGCACCAGAAGTGGAGCAGGAGGACTTGAACAAGCCCTCACTTGGGATGCTGGCATTACAAGCCAGCTTAATATGCTGAGCTATAATACCAGCACAGGAAAGATATCTTTAAAAAAAAAATTTATTTTATCTTTATTGGAAAGTCAGATATACAGAGAGGAGGAGAGACAGAGAGGAAGATTTTTCATCCACTGAGTCACTCCCCAAGTAGCCACAATGGCCAGAGCTGTGTCCATCTAAAGCCAGGAGCCTGGAGCCTCTTCCAGATCTCCCACGCGAATGCAGAGCCCCAAGGTTCTGCGCTTTCCCAGGCCACAAGCAGGGAGCTGGACGGGAAGCAGGGCTGCCAGGACATGAACCAGCGCCCATTTGGGATCCTGGTGCATGCAAGGTGAGGACTTTAGCCACTAGGCTACTATGCAGGGCCCCAGGAAAGACATCTTAAGCATATTACAAAAATGACCAAACCATAAAAGACTGATAATCTTGACTGTATTAGTCAAGATTATCAAGACATTACTAGTCATCAAGACATTACTAATAAAGTAAAAAGGTAAGCCAATGACTGAAAGCAGGTAATTATATATACACCAAGAAAAGTCACTGGCAGGCCTGGCATGGTAGCCTAGTGACTACAGTACTCGCCTTGCATGCACTGGGATTCCATATGGGTGCCAGATAGTTTCCCAGCTGCTCCACTTCCCATCCAGCTCCCTGCTTGTGACCTGGGAAAGCAGTCGAGGACTGCCCAAAGCCTTGAGACCCTGCACCCACGTGGGAGACCTAGAAGAAGTTCCTGGCTTCAGATCAGCTCAGAGCTGGCCATTGCAGCCACTTGAGGAGTGAACCAGTGGGTGGAAAATCTTTCTGTTTCTCCTTCTCTCTATAAAATCTGCCTTTCCAATAAGAATAAATATTTTTTTAAAAAGAGTCATTGGCAGACTATATAAAGAACTCTTACAAATCAATAACTTAAAAAAAAACTACTAGAAACAGGAAAGAACCATAAATGAGCACTGACCATTAAGTTACTCAGTGTCAGTAATAATCAGATAAATGTAAATTAAAACCAAAATTAATTACTCACTAGAATTGCTAAAATTAAAATTTGATAATGATAAAAACTGTTATTGGTGAGGAAGTTTCACCTATAGGAACTTGCATCCACTTTTGGGCAGAGTTATAAAACCAGTACAACTATTTTGGAAAACTTTATGAAAACTGAAAATAAGTATACTAAAAGGATCAACAATTCCTGTCCTAAGAATATACTTGGTAGAAATATGGAGGGTAGGCATGGTGGCTTACAAGGCTAACCCTCCACCTCTACTGCCAGCCTCTCATACAGAAGCCATTTCAAGCCCCAGCTGTTCCACTTCTGATCAAGCTCCCTTCTTATGGCCCACAAAAGCATCAGAAGATGGCCCTAGGCCTTGGGTCCCTGTACCCATGCAAGAAACCTGTAAAAAGTTCCTGGCTCCCAGTTTTGGACCCACCCAGCTTTGGCCATTGCAGTCATTTGGGGACTGAACCAACAGATGGAAGATACACTTCCCTCCCCGCTTTTCTTTCCCTCTCTCTGTCATTCAACTAAAATAAATAAATCTTAAAAAGAAAAATGTGGGACCAGCACGGTGGCTCACAGGCTAATCCTCCACCTGCAGTGCTGGTATCCCACATTAGTACCAGTTCTAGTGCTGGTTGCTCCAATTCCAATCCAATCCAGGTCCCTATTTATGAACTGGGAAAGCAGCTGAGGACAGTCCAAGTCATTGGGTTCCTGTCCCCTCATGGGAGATCTGGAAGCAGCTCCTAGCTTCAGATTGGTTCAGCTCAAGCCATTCCAGTCATTTGGGAGGGTAAACCAGATACAGGATCTCTCTCTCTCTTTCTCTGTCTCCCCTTCTGTGACTATTTCAAATAAAAATAACTAATTTTTTTTAAAAAAGAAATGTACGTG